ACATACATAATTATTCAACAGAACTACCAATAATACCAATAATAATAATAATCAGACAACAGAATTTGCATAAAGAGGAAGGAAGGGGGAAGAGGTAACCAAAATAATAAAAACAGATACAGACAGCAAATGCAGATTATGTCAGCACTTTGAGGAAATGACAGTTCATGTTGTGTCTGGATGCCCAGTGCTGGCGAAAGAGCAATATATACAATGACACGACCGTGAGTGCGCTCAGTTACATTTTAACATATGCAGGAAAGCTGGGGTAAAGCTAGGAAAGAAGCATTGGTATGAACACATCCCAAAGTGAAAGCAAAAGTAATTCCAATAATTATAGGAGCTACTGGAACTGTCTTCAAGTCACTCATAAAATATTTGGCCAACGTCCTGGGCAAACACAACATCAGGGAACTTCAGAAAGCTGCCATTTTAGGATCTTCATACATTGTTCGAAAGACGCTGTCATGAAATATATAGCCATCCCTCACAATAAAACTATATAATACATGTAACACATATTAAAAACAAAATGAATTTCAGAAATAGCTGTTGCACTATGTACCTCAGGGGCAAGGTTTGTCTCGGGTACATAAAAGTAAACACCCTATAAAGTCGTGAATAGATGGGATAATAATAATAATAATAATAATAATAATAATACCAACAAAAAAAATTAAAACTGAACTGGTAAAACAGCAATCAGCTTCATTACACTGTCATGTTATACAAAGAAATTCGTGGTAAATAAAAATGAATAACACAATGACACAGTTCTGTAATTAAGGAAGGGTAAGCCAGAAGAAAGCCAATAGCTTCTGCCATTAACTTTATATACGAATTTTTTGAGTAATTTCCATGCTATAAATGAGACATTACCAACTTCCAATAACATATGTTTTTAGAATGTGACATTACCAATGGGAAGTAGGCCCTCCTGGCTCCCGACATTAAGCAAACTTGTAAGTCACCAAGGACACATTAAACAAAAGAATATTCAAATGTAAAGCCTGGCAAGAAAGGGGTCAATTCTACTAGAAAACCTTATAAGGCACGTGCTGCCTGTAGCCCATGGATATTTATTTATTTTTGTCTCTAAGCCCATACAGGTGTTCCTTAAAAATGGTGCCACGTCATTTCTTTTTTAATTTCTAAATAGCTGTTCCGTTCCTCACATGTTTTAGCAAAACAAATTTTGTGCTCTTGGATTTACATTAACACAATGCAGATGCATTCTTGACCTCATGGAAGTATCTGG